CAAAAATCATATTGAAAACCCCTTCATAGAAAAAGATTTGAGGTCATTTCTGGTGACTTAAACTTTTTTTCCCCACCAGTCAATTTGTTTTATTTAGTCCTAAAACTGGGTTGATATTTTTAAAGCTGTGGGGTGTTTAGTAGTGGTTTGACTTAACTTCTTTTTTTTTTAAGTGGAGCTATCATAAGTCTTTGAGTAATCACAGACTTTTAAAAGTATGCATTATCAAGAAGATAAGAGAAACAGCCCACAGCACTAACAATATTATCTTTTACCAAAATTGATTAGACCGTCCTAAGTGTCTCAGATATTTTCTGTGAACCTACTCAGAATGTTAAAAATAAGGCTTCCTTTTTAAAGAATAGCTGCAAAATATGAACTGGGCAGAGAAATAACGACTTTGTTTTTCTTCTAGCTCTGTCTTTCGCAGATGAAGTAGCCTCCATGAGAGCAGTGAGAGGTTGTTCAAATGAAATGTGTGAAAGTTGTCATAAAAAGAGAAGACCCACTAAGACAATTTTCTGCTAATATTAAAATCAACTTTAAATGTCCTGGAATTGACACATCTAGCATATTATGAAAATCTGTACATAATTAATTTTGTTCAATTTCTATTTTGTAAGTAACACACACCTAAACCATTATCTACTCAGAGATAGTCATTTTAAAATGATGTAGATCAAATTGTTGATATTTTTGTTGAGGTGAAAGGAATTATGAAAGAGAAACCACCACTAATAAAATGGACTCTGAATGCAGTAGGAATATGATGGAATAGTTCAGTTTGTTCTTGAGTTCACAGGAACTGCAGAAAGGAAAATAGGTAGGTTTGTGCTTGCTCATGCAACTTTATTAATAGGGTCTGTTAAGACAGATGTATGATGGGTGTTTCTTGGGTAGCAGGAGGAGGAGTTCCCAGAACGGGATAGGTACTAAACAGGAGATAAGGAAGAGGGGAAGGGACTATCTGGACTGGGGAAGAGCAGCAGAGCAGCAGAATCCATTTCTTGGCAGATGCTATGGACAGTCTCCTGGAGGGGCTGAGGTCCCAGCACAGATGCCCCCTTTGAGAGGTCAAAGGGGAGCGACTCAAGATCTTGCACAAAAGGCTGACTCAGTGATAGTGGAATTTTAATAAGCTTATCCTGACAGGGATGGAGCCCGCAGTAGAACTGGTCAGTCACTTAGTCAGAGTTGACAAAGAAGGTAGAGTTGATAAGAAAGGCAAATCTAGGAGATATGAAGAGGAAGATATGTGAAAATATGAAATGATTTGGAGAGAGGAGACAGAGCTGTGACCACAGACACTGGTAGACATTGGGATGCTATGATGCAAAGATCTGGTGACATACTAAATATTGGTTACATACTTTGCATAGCAATAATTTGTTATTGCAATTCCTATTTTTGTGTACAACAACTGAAATTTGAAGTATTAAGTGACTTCCCCTGGCTGGCATGACATTCCCATTATTCTTTCACTATTTAGTATGGAACCCTTTTTAAACCTTCATTCCACATTATTCCCTTTCATCCAGAGACTTAGGAACTTCACCTCATCATCAATCATTATTTTCATAATTTGTTTGATCCTTCCTCCATCAAATTGTTACTCAATCCCTTGGCTTCTCAAAAGGCACATGGCTCAAGATCCATGTTCGAAAAGTTAAGCCTGAATTTCATCCTTGGAATTTTCTTCTAACTCCTAAAATACAAATAGCAACTCACTTCCATCATTTTGTGTATCCAAGGCATATGGACTCTAAAACCTGCACTATATTCCAGGCCCAGGCTTCTGTTTGCTCCTTTATGTTTGAGCTTCTCTTATTGTCTAGAGCTTAGTAGATATCAAATCAATATTTGTGTAATAAATGATTGAATGAATTGATGAATGGAGGCATAAAGCAGTGAGCCCCAGATTAGGCATGAGTTGGAGCTTTGCTTTTACATTTCCAGTGAACCACCCATTTTAGGGCAAGCTGGTTCTAGGACTGGGATCTATCACTCAGGAGCCCGGTGTTCTTTCTATCTTTCATGATATAGCCAGGGAAAGGGAAAGGAAACTATTAACATGGACCATCTGAGTTGGAAAACACCTTACTAATTAGTGAGTGCTAATTCTTACTTTAACAGAAACTTTTGAAGGACTCTTCAGCCAGTTATTGGACAGTTTGGGGATAAAAAGCACCTTCTTTTTAGTGCAATAAGAGTTTACATAATGCCTATTAATACCTAAAATAATACTATACTCTGAAGTAACATGCAAGGTAAATATTTCCAAACATCAACATCTTATTTTTGTTGTTTCTTGGTACCAAATATATATTAATATTGTATGGTATGCTGTAGCTTTTTATCAACACAATTACAAATAAATGATTCATTTTTAAACTACTTTGGCAAGAAAAGAGTTCCCCCAAACTTTAAAACAGCACCTTAGTAAGAAAGGAGACTGGCATTGTTCAATGACAGTGATAATGGTGTTGTCTAATGACAGGGAAAAGATTGAGTTGAGAGCTTGAACAGTTACTGGGTGGTTTGTAATAGTCGCATTACAAACTCACAAAGTATTTGTGGTCTGTTTAAAATTTTAATCATAGTCAGAGACATCTGACAACTTAGGAGGTATTTGGATATTACTTTATGATCTGGCCTGAGTTTCCAGTTCTTATTCCATTAAAAGATGGTCTTTATTGTTAATCCACAGGTGTAGATAAGAGTCACTATTTGACTGCAGCTGAATCCTTTACAAATGAAATATGTCAAAGGCAGAAAGACAGGATGAATTACTTTTTAAAGGGGTTTTCAAAGATTTTCATGATTCCTCTGGTGCCACATAAAAATGGCATGGCTTTTTTAAAAAATGTATAAACATAAGCAGATTTATTTGAAAATAATCCTTATGTACAAATGAAAATTCTTAATTAATATTTAGATGAGGGCATTGTTTTAAACGTAAACACTTGAAAATTTTCAGAATTCTTATCTGAGAGAAATTAGATATTTTCTCTGTAAATTTAAAAGTTATCCTCAAAGGCTTCAATAAGTGGATAAGCATAAATTGAAAGACATTTTTCACGCTGATTATTTTTTAGCATTAAAATAGATTGCTGGTGGAGCAGGGGGGTCTGACTCAAGGGGTGAAGTTCCTGTCTTGGAAATAGGTTGCTAGCTTCGCTCTGTCGTTGACAAATTTTCCATGGAAGGCTGCTGATTCAAATGTATTAATCAAAGTTATGACTGTACAAGGGTTTAAAGACACTTTCAGAGGAAAAGCTCAGAAATGGGTTTGTTATTCCATATGATGAAAAACATTTTTACACTTCTATATGCTTAATATAGAAGTTATTCTATATAAACTTCAGAGTTTAGCATGTCAGCCCTGGTGTTATTTACCATCAAGGCATTCTTTCTACGAAACTATTTTTGCAGTCCCTTTCCTGGTTGCTGGGCATTACTGATTTCTGCTCTACTCTCCTAAAAAGCATTGAGTATGTATCTATCTTAATTGATTAACTCTTTCACTCTTAGAACAGTTGCCAAGGAGGTGGGGGTATGTGGAGAGGGGGCTATGTAAATTCAGTCCCTAAGGTTAGAACATGAAATTATTCTGAACATCCTTTCGGAGAAGAGGGTGAATTTGTATTTTGTAATGGAAACATTTTAAGCATTGTACAATATTTTAGTATAAATATTGCATACTTTTGTTGGGTGGTGGTGATGCACGCCTTTAATCCCAGCACTCAGGAGGCAGAGGCAGGCGGATCTCTGTGAGTTCGAGGCCAGCCTGGGCTACAGAGTGAGTTCCAGGACAGGCTTCAAAGCTACACAGAGAAATCCTGAATCGAAAAACCAAAAAAAAAAAAAAAAAAAAAAAAAAAAAGATTGCATACTTTTGATTTAGAAAATGAGTAATAATAGGAACACAAAAGATAATACCTGGTATTTAAATAATTAAAAGAGAGTAGCACAAATACTTAAAAAAATAGGAAGAAATATCATTGAGCTCAGTTTGATGGGGTTGCTTTTGAAAACGTGAAGATGGAAGCATGATCCCACCACAGACATGTGATAATTAAAGACTGTCATGACTGAGTGCACTGAGTTCCAGGTGGAATTTTCCTGTTTCCAATCTGCCTGGCTTTTCCCTCAATCCCTCATTCTTAAATCTGGTGTTGAACGGGCTGGCAGAAATACCACCAGGAAGTAGGAAACTGTACTAGTGAAGTAGTGTTTTACAATGTTGAGAGCTTTGGATGGTCACATGACACAACAGTACTTTGAGGGTAAAAACATTGACTGAACCTCCAATTTGGGAATGACAATTCTTGTTCGTCTTAAACCACGTTCAAGCCATGGACCTCATTCAGATTTGATTCACTTAGTTTTTTATAGTCATTTATCTATTAACCACGTATTCAATTAATTCCTAATACATGAAATGTATGTAACATCTTTACATCTTGTAAATATAAATATAATATAAAGAAGATAGTCTTTAACTGACTGTCCTTACAAACAAAACAGTTTTTATGAAAAAGAAATACCATTCCTTATTGCATATGTACCTATTTTATCCATTGAAATTATTAATAATTCCAGAAGATTGTCAACTGTTTTAAGATTCTTTCCAGATAACTGTTATTCAAAAGTTTTGAATAGGTGCAAGAATTTCACCCATCATTTATTCTCCAAAGTCTCCTTTATATTTTGGCATTAGGTCAATGCTTTTTAAGGAAATGTTGCTTTTTAAGGATGACTTCTGTGGATAATGAGTGTGGAAAGTGCAGAAAAGAAACTGGACTGAATTTGAATACAGTTATAAAGACAAGCGTTCTTTCTTTAAAGGGTGCCAAGGTCAGTTGGTTTTCAGGGAAGCGTAATTAATTTTCGTTAGATGAATTCTGAAAATATTGAATGTGTAGAGCAAAGGGAAAACAGGTGCTATTGTTAGGATGCATGAGCGTGTGTGTTCTAATGGCCCGTTCTCACCTCTGCAGGAGAGCTGGAGGCCTTTCAGAGAGATGGGGAACGGAAAATTCAGAGTCGGCAGCAACTTCCGGTGGGAACAACCTGGGGCCCCTTTGCTGGCAAGATGGACTTGAATAATAATTCCTTGGTATGTGGACCTTCTAAGACGGTTGGCTACTCTTTATCGGGCTTAATCTCTGCTTGTTTCCCGGTTAAATTGGAAAAAAAAAGTTTGTGTTTTGTCAGTTTTATGGATTTCCAGACATTTTCCCAGTGGTTTGTCTCTAATATAAAAATAATCCCAAAAGAAACAACTTATTCATATCTAATAGCTGACTAGTGAGGTAACTTATGCTCACTGCTGCATTGCTGAGCCAGGCTTAGTCTGTTCACATTTAATAATATGTGCAGTCACCTTTCTTTTTCAGATGACACAAATTAAGTACTATACCTTAGAGGTGTGCACAAAGAATAAGAAATAAACAGCTTTGCTATCCTTCCATAATGCTGCCTGTAACTGTAAGGGCAAGGATGAATGATCAGCATTATAAGTTGTGTTAACTTTTCTATGAAAGTTTTGAGGCCCCAACGTCATCTGCTTGTTATTATATGGGTACCTGATTTCTCAAGACACTAAAAGGAAGGAAAAGCAAGAGATATACTTTCCAGGTTCCCAAAATACTGCTTAGCAGACATCTGAGAATTAAGATATTGATCATATTTAAAACTTCCATCAGACACCACCACATACCTTCGTCATTTCTCCAACGTTTCTGACAATAGTTTCTGCCATTAAAATGATACCTGTCGTTCATTCATGGAAGAGTGAAGTTTTTCCCATTTGTTATATCAAAATTATATCTATATTAAAATGCAATGATTTATCAACCTCTATATCACTGTCAGTATACATGCAGGATGGTGGATTCATGACATTTTACCTTCTGTTAAATTGTGGTGTATGGAAAATAAACCTGTTTGTGAAAGTTTAACTTCTCATTGCTACCTATAGAGCATCATTTTGTGGTTTGAACACTTCTCTACCATTCCAAAGCCATTTTATGCTATGTTTAATATTTTTAAATAATTCAATTTATATATTTGAAGCAATCCAATAGTTTTGCTACTATCTGAGACGTATGAATCCTCTGTGGTACCAGATCAGCTGTGCCTAATTATCCTCTATAGAAATACCTTACTATCTCAGTTTATACTTTTTAGAGTCTAAATCTCTAATTATGTGCTCTATTAAAGGCAACATCTATTATTATAAAATTTAAATATTTCATTACAGTGCACTTTTAAAATATTTTGAAAACATTTTCTCTTCCAGAACTTAATCTGATTTTATGTCATTAAATGCAACCTACACTATTACAGTACCATACTGATCATTGTGTAGCAAGGACTAATATATAATGATGCTTATTTACTTCTAGACTAGAGTGTATAAACTTGAGGACTGATTAGTTAGTTCATTTACCCTTCCTAACAAATCTGTAAATCTGCTGTATTTCAATTTTTGGTTTCATAGATGAGAAGACAAATGTTCTGGCTGTTGATTCCAGGACTTTGAAGTCTTCCCATGCTGCCTCTTCAGTAGAATATCTACAGTATATTTTTAACGTGATAAAGATTTTTGCATAGATGCCAAATTTAAAAAATTAAAGGAAATAGGCAATAATGACAGAATTTTGTTGATTTGTTTGCTTTATGTTGGGCAAAATGTTGCTTTTGGTACAGTTTGTAATTAGTCAAATATTTGTGTAACTTTATTGCATCTTTAGAATTTGGACAGTATTTCAATATGTTTTTTAATAACATGAAGACAAAATTTCCTTATTAAAAATATATAGCTTACTAGCCCTTTTTTGCCCATCTTTGAACCAAATTTGAATTAGAACCCTCGTTTAAATTGCTTGTTTGCCAACTGATGTAATGTTACTCAGACTCATGATGTTGGCTCAGGAGATTCAGCACACTAATTAATCCAACACAGTAATTAATTGAGTTACCATGCCAGATGTCAAATCCTTTTTATATCTTTCAAGTCTCCATCTTGAAGTACATTAAAAATATGCCACCTTCTGTGGGAAGCCTTTGCCGACCAGGCATTTGTATGTATATAGGATATTGCAAGAAACATACTCCTCTGTACAGAAAAACACAAAAGCTGATTCAACAAGAAGTTATTCCTGGAATAACATAATGCACTGAATGTATAAATAGGTTTTTGCTTACCAATAGCTTCTTATCTTGGTAGATGCTTCACACTGTAAAGGATTGATAATAACAGCTGCAGCAGAGGAAATGCATGTATTGGGCCAGGAATACTTCATATGAGAGAAAACAATAGTTATGTCTGTAATAAAGTATTGCAGAGGAGAATACTGGCACTTCAGGAAGTTAAATAATTAGCTCCCGAGCAATTATTTGATATTGTAACTTAGGTTGTAACCTAGGAAATATTGTCCATAATGTAGGAATAATAATACTTGGCTTATAAAGACTTTGAGACTAAATGAGGACAAATACTTGAATTATCAACAGATATTTGCCCGTTATTAGTCTGTCTTCTGTACAAATGGATCTATTGCAATTCAGCACATTAAAAGTTTCACAGATTCCCCACACCAGACTAAAGCATGAGAGACTGTTGATGTTGGTGTTTAGGCCATTAACATGTTTAAATTTAGCTCTTTATCAAGTGATTATGATTTTTCACAGAAACAGAATCAAGAAGATGTGTCTGAACATAGAGATTTATTGTAAGCATTTGGATCAAGCAAGAAGGGGGCTTTGTAAGTCCAAAGTTGTTATTGTGGGTTGGTAAACTGAGTCCCAGAAGAGTACAAAGGCTGTAGTTTTCTTGTGCCAGGAGAAGTCAATCTACTTTTTATATTTAGACTTCGAGTTTGTTGATAGAGTGTTTTATTTGTTCAAAGTTCATTAATTTAAATGTTAATTCTGATTAAACACATCCTCTGAGTTAACACATAAAATTAACAATCCCAGGTTTTGGAAGTCAATGACATCTTGTGACTCTCCATTTTCTGATTTGTAACATTATGCCCCTCAAGGAATTGCTCACCAGTAAATGAACATATACTTATTTCCAACACTTTAATATTACACAGTAACATAAAGTGCTTTTGTAGTTCCTTATACCTGGTTCTTTGGAAGTCGTGTGACTTCATTGAGAATATGAAAGACAAACAAAAAAGTAGTTTGTTAAGTTAACTTTAAATTCTGACCAATCTCTGCCTTGAAGAGGGAAAGTCTATATATTATCTATATTATCTCTTTGATGATTTTTATAACCTTCCAAGTATAAAGATCTTTATAAACTAAATCTCCCATTAGTATTAGTACATGGTAGTAACTAATATCATCAAAGACCAATAATTAGTTAAAAGTTTGAGTGTTTAGAACTTAAGTGGCATTTGCACTCTCTTGCTTGTGAACGCATCAGCTGTCAATAGCTAACTATCTGACTGGATTCAACCCATTGCGGGAATGAATTGATGTGCATCCTTAATTAAGTAGAACAAAAATACAGAGTTCCATATTGTCACATAATATTAAACTTATGACCTGATAAATTCAATCATGGAAATTGATAGAGAAATCTCATTTCATTCTGTTCAATCAGAATAGGAAAATTGCGTGATTTTCATTTGTGACATCCAATTCTTCAAACAGGCAGTGCATATATGAAGGGTCCATGCTACTGACCTAATAACAAAACAATGCTTATATTAAATTTTGTAAAAGTTTCAGAGTAGTTATTATCATAGAAATTTGATAGAGAAATGAATTAGCAATTTTTGATCCATATCATTATGATCCCAATTAGCAGAGGCCTCCGTTTCTCCTCTTTTATAAAGTTCCATCTCTTCTGACACTGGTTTTTGAACCCATTCTTTGCTAGTGTTCTCCAGTTTCATTCCATCATACACTGTTGCAAACATATCCATACTTGAACCACTCCAGCACTCATTGCTGTAGACAAAGGTTGCTTAGTGGAACACTTGGGTATTTCGTAGATGTTTTGTAGATCCTGAAGCAAGTTCCTTGCAGGCCAAACTAACTGTAAGTCTTAGAGATTTCATATTCTGAATGACAGTCTTCAACTAGTGATGATAAGTACAAGCTGACTGATAACCCCATGCTTCTTCATTTCTCTATAGAATCTGAGGTCTCATCTATACTGTCATGTAAAATTTGTCAATGAAATTGGTCTCTAATGCGTTTAATAATGCATCTTTTATGATCCTATTTTCCTGTCCTGTCTGATTTTACACATTGCTGCTGGAATTTTTCTGAGGTCATTTCCTCAGTATGCTACTTACACTTGAATCCCTCTCAGAGTAAGCTTCTGGAAAAGCTATACATTAAACTCCTTTTAAGATACAGTGATGGAGGCTGGAGACACAGCTCTGAAGATAAGAGTGCTTGTTACTCTTGCGAAGGACCTGGGTTCAGTTCCTAGCACCCACAGGGCTGTTGACAACCATATGTAACTCCTGTCCAAGGAGATCCAACACCCTCTTCTCTCCTCTATGGGCACCAGGCACCCACGTAGTGCACAGATATACATGCAGGCAAAATACTCATATGCATAAATAATAAAACAAATAAGTGTAAAAAGAGATACAGTAAACAAAGTTTAAAAGCAGTATTCAAATAAATATTGAGACTCTAAAAGAGATTTGTTGAATCTTTATTATTCCATTTGGACATCTATCATTGGTACATAATAAGCATTCAATAAATGCTTTTAAAAGTCAAAATACAATACAGTGGAATGAACTAACCAGGACATTCTCACTGATACCCACCGATGCCTTCCCAGTCTTGACAAATCGATGATAGAATTGATAATTCTGCTGAAACAAGACTCTGTGTGGCATCTCAGGCTTTTCCACTGATGTTGACATTGTGAATGATATCTTCCTTTTTAATATTCATTTTCATCAGAGCTCAGTATTGCTATATTTTCTGCTTCTCTCGGAGCTTTGGCTCTTTTTAATTTAACTGTGCATGTTTCCCCAAACACTTCTGGCCTTTCTTCTCTTCTCCCTCTGTTCCCAGTGCCTCGGGGAGCTTATCCACTTGTAAAGCGTCAGCTACTAATTTACAAATGAC